CTCCAGCCACGGCCAGGACAGAGGGAGGGCGTACGAAGAAGAGGCTGGATCCTCGAATCTACCGGGATGTTCTAGGGGCTTGGGGTCTCAGACAGGGACGGGGACTCTTAGGAGGAGCTCCTGGCTGTGCAGCGGCCAGAGCCAGGCCAGAGTCTTGCAAAGGAGCGATAGAGAAAAGCTCGGGCCTAGCTACTTCTGACCTAAACAGTGGTGGTGACTGCCATCCCCAAGCCAAAGCGACTGGCAGTCCAGACACGGAGGCAGCTCCTGCTGGGTCTACGATCCGCAGCCCCCCATGTCCTGTTCCTAGGTCTAGACAGCATCTCAAGGGCTCCAGGGAAGGGAAAGAAGGAAGTGAACATATTTGGCTTCCTAAGTGTTGGCTTTCTTCCCCTAAGAAGCCTCCAGTTACGCATAGTCAGACTCTCCCCAGACCCTGGGCTCCTGGAGGCACTGGGTGGAGAGAATCCCTTGGTCAAAGAGAGGGGACAGAACATGAGACCCTGGAAGTTTGGAAGGCGACCCGCCGTGCCCACACCCTGCCCCGCAGTTCCCGAGGCCCCTCTCGTAGAGAAGGCATCTTTGTCATTGATGCCACGTGCGTGGTGATAAAGTCCCAGTATGTTCCGACCCCTCGAACCCAGCAGGTGCAGCCCTTGCCCTCTGGGGAGCCAAGAATTGTGAGCGAAAGCCCTAGGCAACAGAAGCCCTGCCACGAGGAGGGTGAGGGGGCCACTGCCAATTCCTCAGCTTGCCAAAAGCTGCCGTTGAGCAATCGTGTCTCAAACCAGGTGGGCGGGGGTCGCGAGTGCGAAGCCGAGAGTGGAGAGCAGGGGGGTTCTTCACTGGAGGACCGCACCTCCCGCGTTTTAGGGTTCCCTGTCGGCGAAGTGACCCTAAGAGACGTCGTCCCCAAGCAGCCAGGCAGCCCTGAGCACCCGACCTTAGGCCCAGCGGCTCCGGGATGCGTGGGCAGCAGCTTGAAGGGCTCAGAAGCGGCTGGGGTCCTGCGGCGCGCGGGCGGGGGCTGGGCGCGGACTCCAGGACCCTACGCCGGGGCGTTGCGGGAAGCCGTGTCCCGCATCCGCCGACACACCGCCCCGGATTCGGACTCAGACGAAGCTGAGGATCTCAGCGTCCATAGTGGTTCCTCTGATGGAAGCGACACAGACATCCCAGGCGCCTCCTGGCGGAATGAGAGGACCCTGCCTGCGATTGGAAATACCCGGCCCAGGGAAGGCGGGAAGACAGCGGAGCTGAGCGACAGTATCCGAGAGGTTCTAGATGTCATTAGTCCAACCGAGGAAGGCCTCTTCGGAGAGGACACCAGGAAAACGCCACAGGGGAAGAGAGAGAGAGAGTGAGCGATGCCCCTTTTTGTTCTCGAATGTGGCTCAGCCCATCCAACCTTGGGCTCACCTTTCTCCTTTACTCTCTGCAGGCTTCGTGGCTTCCCTTTTCTTCTTTCCCCACCCATACCTGTTCCTACACTTGAAACGGAAGAAAGGAAAGGAAAGGGAAGGAAAGGGAAGGGAAGGGAAGGCAAGGGAAGGAGAAAAAGGCCAGGCAGCACGTGCGCCAATCCAAGGATTAGCTTCAGAGGAGATGAGGGTAGGATTCAACCCCTGCTACATTCAATCGCAGAACTAAGCAGAGACAGTCATAGTCAGGTCAGGGTCCCTGGCAGGAGAAAAAAGTAGTGGAGAGGCCTTGAACCTAGTGACTGAGTGATCAGATGACAGGGCCTTTTGGCAGAGAAGGAACGGATGCATACACAACCAGCAAACTGGAAAGAGGGCTCAAGCTTCGGTTCCTACTGTGCCGCTGACTTGCTGGTGGGCCTTAGACTAAACTACACCTTAGACTAACTGCTTCGTTTGCACCCGAGCATTCCGGATCCCTGCAAATGTAGAATGAGCGATTTCTGCCACCCATTCTTCCTTCCCTGGAATTTTGGGAATAAGTGAACAGGATTTGAGGGCACTTATCAACTTCACTCTTCCTCAGTCCGGAAGACTGTCAAGGTTTTCAGATTTAAATGGACAAAGGGCTTCTATCCCAACCTCCCAAGTTTAGGTGGGTGCTTCCCAAGGCACAGCAGGATGATGGCCCTACTACTGCGTCTGGCCTGTGGTGGGCCAAGTTGGAGAGGGAAGGTAGCCAATGAATCAGCTTGGGACATTTTTAGGCCTTCCCCTTTTCCTCCATCTCCGTGTCCTCAGTGATGCTCTGAAGTGTTGCCGGGATTTCCCACGCAGGCGGTATCGCCCACCTACCTGATAGGACCCTGACAATTTCTGCATCTCTTCTAGAAAAGTCAGGCAAGAAGGAAGGCTGGTCTTCAGCAGTCGGTGTGGGGTGTGATACTCGCTGGAGCCACTACGGGGCGCGCGCAGGTCGCGGATTCCCCCGGTTGCTGGTGCTCGAGTGCCCTACACCAGCACTGCCAGTTATCTGGATCCCCAGTTACCGGGTGCCGCTTTCCCGCCTTGACACCTCCAAGCCGCGCGCGCGGGGCCGGGAGCAGGCCTCCGGCCTCCCAGACCTCTGGGGCGCGTCGAGCCCTTCTTTGTATTGATCCCACGCCAATAGACTTAAGACTGACGTTTAAGTCTTTTTTTTTTTTTTTTTTTCTTTCCAACCCTGGGCACTTCCTCTGTGTCTGCCATTTACTAGCCATGTGACCTTTGGCCAAATCACTTCACCTCCCTGAGCCTCAGATTCCTCATCTGTCAAATGGGGGTTTATAAACACCTACCTCGCAGGGTTGTTGTGAGGATTTAATGCGGTAATGTATATAAGGGGCCTTGTACAGTGCCTGGCACATAATAGGCGCCCAATAAAACTACTCTTCCCTTTACGCAACTTTGGAGTCTCTTTCTCGCTGACCTAGCCCCACCTGGCTCTCCCTGGGTTTTCTCGAATTCTTCCCGCTCGCCTGCTGTGGGGTGGGAGGGGGGAGGACTCCTCTCTGGTGGAAACTTCTGGCCCAGCTTGTCTCCCTGGCTGGGACTCTCCCTTCCTTGCCCCCCCCCGCCACACCCCTGCCGCTCTTCCCTCTGCCCCATGCACTCCCCCCCTCCGCCGCCCCCCATTCCGGGCAAGGGCTGAGTCAGCCTAGGTAAATTTAGCCTCCGGCTGGGCAGAAGCTGGGGTTTCGACCAGACTCTGTCTCCAGGTCGAACCCATCCCCTGGCCCCGCCTCTGTCCTTACTCCCGCCAAACCTGACTCCCGCAACTCTTGAGACCTCTCTCAAACCACTTAGGCTTTTAGTCCCCAATTAGCTTGACATCACACCCAGGGAGATTTACAGACAGGACTTGGAGGGGGTGAGGGGTGACAGGGCTCCCAGTCCACAGCCAGCTGCTCACCTTGATTCAGTGGAAGAGGGTCTCTCCCATTCTGGCTTCCCAAGTTCGGGGGCTGCGTTCACTGGTCGGAGCTCCCCAGGAATATCCACCTGTCACCCTGTCTGTAACCTACACATTTCCTGTTGCTCTTGGTGGAGGAGGCCAAGGAGTCCAGGTCACCTTGGGCAGAGATCAAAAGTACCAAAGGCCTTACCACTCTCTATTGCAGTTCTAACTGTTGGCAAGTCTAACCTAGCATTTACTGAGCATTCCCTAAGAACGAATCCCTGGGTTAAGCTCGAGGGTAGAAAGGGCAAGGCCTGCCTGGCAAGGTGATAAAGACAAAATATCAAGCAAGTACTGGGCTCTCCTGTTAAGTTCTGAAGGAAGTCAACCAAGGGAGACCCTAATTTTATGAGATCCAGGGAGAGTCCATAGAGGACATAAAAATTAGAAAGGAACCCAGTTAGTGGCACAAGCCTTTAATCCCAGTACTCAGATGGCAGAGGCAAGTGGATCTCTGGGTGTTTGAGGCCAGCATGGTCTACAGAATGAGTTCCAGGCCATCCAGGCAGAAATAAACATATATTTTTAAAAGAAACAGAAAAACACTCTCCTGTAAACCAGAGGCAGAGGCAAGTTTGAGCCCAGTCTGGTTTTACATAATGAATTTCAGCCCAGCCCAGCCCAACACAGCCCAGCAAGATCTGTCTCCAAAAAAGAAGGGGCCAGGGAGCACAATCCATCCTCGGAGAGTAAGTCTGCATGGCAGCTCACAGGTAGTATGCTGGCCTAGAACATACAAAGTCCTGAGTTTGGTCCCCAGCATTGAAAAAAACAAATCCTAGGCTAGATAAAAACCACCCATTTCGTACAAGGGACATTTGGGCATTTAAGTTGTCAGGGCAACACACACCTTCTTCCAGAGCTTGCCAAGGACGAAGGAAGAGCCAGCTGCCAAAGTGCTGGGAGAGAAGGAGAGAGAGGAGAAGGAAGATGGAGCAGGTTTCAGGGCCAGACCCTGGTAAATAGTATCTTAGGCTGTCCCCACCCGGCCCTGTGGGTGGCAGGTTAGAGACTCCCTGCTGTGAAAATGACTTCTAAATCTAGCTGTGTCTGTGAGCCACCCAGCCTCCTGAAGAAGGAGGCCACCAACACTCCCTTCCCTTGAACTGCCTTCCTGATCAGGAGAAAAAAACCACAGGTGCAGGAGGACTGCATGATTGGGGGCAACAGATCTTAGGTTAACAGGGGACCTCAAACAGGGGATCCCATGACTCCCCAAGAACCAACCAAGTTCTTCCTGGAAGCATTTTCTGTCCCACAGTTCTGTCATACTTGATAGGGTATTAGGGGAGCCAGGAATTCTATCCTATTCAGACTTGGAAGAACTCTGAGGTGTCCCGAGGTCTGCTACAAATAGGTAAGGAAACCAAGGCACTCTGCAATATCACAGAGATCAATGGTGAGGGTGTGTTCCTCAGGGAGGAGAGGGGGACAAGAGAAACTGTGGGACACAGGGAGGGACTTGGAATGTGTACAAAGTGTGTCTATTGAGGACAGGATAGCATCTGTCAGTAATTATTCATTTGTGCACTTGCCCATTAACCATGTGTGCCAGGGACACAGAGGAGACTCACGTATGCTTTCTATCTTCAGGGGACTCATACACTAAAATCGGAGCACTAGAGAGGAGATTAGCATGGTGCCTGTGCAAGGATGACATTCAAATTGGTGAATCCTCCCAGAGTTTAGAAAAGGAGGGGGAGGAGGATAGGCATGAGGGACTAGTCCTTGACTTGGACTTATAGGGAATGAGAATATATGCATGAATGTCTTTGGGAGACAAGTTTCCAAGGTTGTATGTATTAGTGAGGAAATTTTAAGCTAGGCGCTGTCCCTGCCTCTGCATGACATGGCATGGGGCAGGCTCCCCCCCCCCGTTTTTTTATCGCTTTGTATTAACTAGGATTTGTGAGTCATTTGTAGATGGATGCTGCATCCATGCATCCCACCTACTCACCTACCAATCTATGCACCAACTCACCCATCATCCATCTGAGCTCCTTTCCATATCCCTCTATCCATGCATCTATTTCCTCATTCATGAACTCACCTATTCATCATTTAATGAGGGCATATCATGCCCTGTCCTCAGTGCTGGAAAGGATGGCAAGACAACCATGACATGGAGCCTGTGTCCTCAGGCAGGTAGAGGCCTGCTCTATCACAACCAAGGATGGCCTGTGGGTGTCATGAAAGCCCCACCAGCAAAGCATTTCAAGAGCTCAGACAGGTCAAGGCACTCTGCCAAGGGAAAATGGAAGGGTCTCCTCAGGGGTGTGGATGTTTGAGGCCATTCTCACTGACATGAGGGAAGAGGTACATCCAGAATATGAGAAGATATGTGGCTTCTGCCAAAAACTTAGAGTAGGTAAGAGCAAAGCATTTGGCCTTCACCAGGGGCAGTAACAGGCACCTGTAGCTCCAGTTATTTGGGAAGACCGAGAGTGGGGATCCCTTGAGCCCAGGAATTGAAGGCCGACACAGCAAAAGCATGGAGACCCTGCCTCTGACCAAAGAAACACAGGAGCTTTTGTGACAGGGTCTGAAAGAGAGATGGCACATAGTTTTGAATACCTTACTGTATTTCAGTGCTGAACATTTTCCTGATTTTTGATTGTGACCTTTGCTCTGTTTTCTCTTTATGGTTTTAGTTTTGTTGTTGTGATGGTGGTGGTACTGTATTTGAGACAGGGTCTCACTAGGTAGCCCGGCTTGCCTAGAACTTTCTATTTAGACCAAACTGGCCTTGAATTCCCAGAAATCCACCTGCCTTTGCCTCCAAACTTCTGGGAGTAAAAGCCTCTGCCACCATGCCTGGCACCTTCGTTGATTAAAAAATAATTGATTTATTTTCATTTAATGTGTATTGATGTTCTAACTGCATGTATGCCTGTATGAGAGTGTCAGATTCCCTGGCACTGGAGTTACAGACAGGTGTGAACAGCCATGTGGGTGCTAGGAATTGAACCTGGCTCCTCTGGAAGAGCAGTCGGTACTCTTAACCGCTGAGCCGTCTCTCCAATTTCACCTTTTTATTTCATTACTATTTGACTTTCTCTGCTATATGAGGTACTTAAGGATCATATTTGACTATCCCACTACAGCATCCCCTAAACCTTGGCATGAAACACATAAGAAGGGGGTAATGAAGCCTGGGGATGTAACACTGTTGATAAGAGCACTTGTCTCCCATGCACAAAGCCTTGCATTTGGTTTCCAGAACTCTATAAACTAGGCATGGCTGCCCCAAAAATCCTAGTACTCAGAAGGTACAGGCAAAAAGATCAGGTATTCACTCACCGTTATCCTCAGTACATGGGAAACTTGAGGCCTCACTCTAGGGTGCATGATACACCACTTCCAGAAAATGGAGAGGTGATGTAAAGTAAAAATGATGAAAGCAACATTGCCATGACAACTTGGCATAAAGGAGGGTGGCTGCCCAGACAGACATGCCTGCTGCTTTGCCTTCTCAGCTCCTGCCTCCAGAAGCTCTCCCAACAACCATCACAAGGGGGCGCAGCTTGAACTTTCTCTATGAACTCTACCAGCATCGTTAGGGTGTCAGCTGGTCAGTTGCCCATCCAGAACTGTCCAGGAATGATCTAGACGTCTCTTTTTACCAAGTACTAGATGAATGAAGAGAGCGAGGACAGCTGTTTAAGAGAAGATTCGACAGACCTCAACTTCTATGCAACTACTGGCCTCACCTAGCCTATCATTCTAGGTATAATAGTAGGATTTTGTAAAAACAAATGACCAAAACATAATTTTGCCCTCAAGGATCTCACAATCTAGTCTCATCCAAGTCTTTCCTTTTTATTATCTCTTAAGCACACACACACACCCATCACACAAGCACATATGTGTGTGTACACAACACACATGTGCACCCATGCATGTACACACACACACACACACACACACACACACACGCACGCACGCACGCACGCACGCACGCACGCACACCCCTGCTTCCCAGGATCAATCCCCTTGACCCAGATAGTCATCCTCATAGGCCATCTACTCTTTGGGACGACTCACATATCTAAATTGGTTTTTTCTTGAGGTTGCTGCACAGCACTATTCAAATCACAGTGGGGAATATTCTGGCTCTGGTTTGTTTCTTCCCAGGATGGCTCTTTACCCTGCCTTTCTGCTCCCTGACACAGCCTTCCTGTACTTTCTAACCTTCTCCAACATACCCACAGCCACTCTGTCAGCTCTGGTGGCTTCCAGGACCTCTTCAGAGTATACTTAGTAAGGGATAACATGCTTCCTAACACTCCAGAGTCCTGTAGGCTACCATCACCTTGGTGCCATCTACCCTGAAATGAGAGTGCTAGCCTGGCTGTAGCTTGAGGGCTCTGCCTAACAAACCTGTCTGCTTTCTTTTCTTACCTACTTCAGGGGAATCAGGTTTCTCCTCAACACAACTCCATAGTGGTGGTGGCTTTGGGAGACACTGCTTGAAGGTGGAACTTTGTGGAACATTGTCCACTTTCCCAACATGCTCCAGGGCCCATCTCAGCCCTTGGCGCGTTTTGGAGAGGAAGGGAGGGAGGGTTGGTACCCAGAGTGGGAGCCAGGCCCATCGAGGTCCAAGAGTGAATGCGGCATTGTTGGCCAGGCTAGAGTCACAGATAATTACCTCAATTAGTGACAATGGGAGAGTAATAAATACAGGCTTAGTGTCTCCTACCCCACCAGGGCTCCGAAGATTAATCCAGGCTGACGGGCGGGCCCTGAAAGGCATGATGGACAATTCATTAAACTCCCCAAATGCCGCACAACCTGGGCGTGAAGGCTGAGTTAGCCCCCTGGGGGCTGCGCCTTTGTCCTGATTGTGTGTCTCCGCCACGGCAGAGCCGAGCAGCCCCCAGAGAGCCGGGAGGTGAGTGGGGCTCCCTGAGCCCGGCCAGGCGGAGGGGGGATTAGGCCTCGGTCTGGCCCTGGTTGCCCTGGCATACTGGCCCGGCCTAACAGGAATGTCCGTCGGGGGGAGCGGGCCGAGCGGAGGGGCGGGGCCGACAAGGTGGAGTAAGGGGGGCACACAAAACCAGGGGCAGGAGGAGTTAATTAGACGCCAGCCGAGGAGGGCGAGGAGGGCGAGGGGCCACAATAGGGCTGAAGGGCCGCCAGGGACGGCCCCTTCACTTCCGAGGATTAATAGGGAGGAGGGAAAAGGGAGGGGTTCAGTCCTGGAAGAGGAGCAAGAGGTGCCCTCTTACCTAGATGGGCACCTACTAAGCAAGTGTCTGGGTCAGTTCCCTCAGCAGCCCACAGCCTGCTGGCATACTGCAGTCATGGAGAGGATAAATGGGGAGAGAAAAATCTTATCTACCAAGAAAAGTAAAGGCGGCAACACACTGAAGGTTCTTATTCTCAGCCCCTTTTCTCCAGCCCCTCATATGACCTACTCTGAGACAGTGCTTATGCTAGATAGCCAACCTCACCTCCCCTAAGAGGCCACCAAGTTAAAGGCAGAGAACCCCGGATGCAGGCGAGGCTGGAGCTGTTGTGAGCACACTTGAATAGAATGTGTGTGCACTTGTGACAGCAGTTGAATGTGCACACCTGGAGAAATGCCTGCTGAGTGAGTGAGTGAGTGAATGAATGAATGAATGAATGAATGAGGGTGTGAGGAAAAGAAGCTGCCCTAGGGTTGAGTCATGACACTGGGTGCCTGGCTAAGCCCTTTCATGCTCAACTTATGGCCATACTACCAGAGAAGGTGGGGGAACCCCTGTGTGAGATTTTACAAATGTGCAAATGTACCTGTAGTAGCCATGGTCCATTCACTGGGAAAGATATAAATTACTAAATATTGCAGTGGCTGATTAGATGTCCATTTCCTCCCGGGCCTCAGGGAATAGGGCAGCCCTGGCTCCTCCCTAGGTGCCACCCTACCCTACCCCCTCTCAGGGGATGACAGGGGAGCGAGTTGGCGGCAGTTCCCTGGGCATATTTATAACTTGCTGCTCTCTCACCAACCCAATGTGTCTGCTTTTAGCCCAGACGGGGGAGGGGGCAAGGGGATGGTCTGTCTCACGCGGGGCCCTGGCTGGGTGTGGAAAAAGTGAGTGAGGGTGAGTGGTGGGCAGCTCTGCATGGATATTCCTGCTCACACCACAGCCAAACAGCTTATTTTCTCCTCATTTTGTTATTTTTCTCCCTCTGGCCTGGAGGAGAAGACTGAGCCTGCCTGGGGCCTTAGGGAAGGGGGGGTAGACCCTAGGGTATTTCAGCCCCACTGACAGGGTTTTTCCAAGGTGCAAGTGGCAGGGTGTTCATGGAGTCAGCTTGCTGACCCCCCAGGGACCGTGCAGCCTGCTGTTTAGGTCTTCTCAGCTTTTCCACTACTTCGGGGATATTTCAGGACTAGTCCCTGCGGCGCTTACTGGGGTCAGCTTTTATCCAGGGTCCTTGCCAGCCCCAGATCCTCCTGCTGTGTATTTATGTGGTGCCTGATGATCAGAAGTGGGTGGAAGTTGCAGGAAGGTTCCTGGGGCACAGTCCCAGTGATGTTATCTTATTACCATCGCCCAGGGGCTTGGGCCCTGAGACTCTTTCTAGATATAGCCATCACCTGACCCCAACCCAGTTCAGAGTGGGAGCAGCACATAACACAGGAAACAGCTCCTGGGCTGTACTTGTAGATCCCACAGCCCCTTTACCTCACCTCTACCAAGGGGATCAAACCCAGGTCCTCATAATGCTCTACTGTCAAGTCACTCCCAGCCCTTATAGTTGAAGTTTTTCATTTTATTTGTGCATTCTGTTAGGACCCAGCCTTATTCTGTATTTTACTAGGGCAGCATTCTCCCAAATTCCAGTCCCTGTATGAGAAGGGTTTTGCTGTGCTGACTCTGGGGTACTGGACTCTGTCCTCAGATTCCCTGTGCATGCAGAGGGCCTTTCCCTGTAACACACACACACACACACACACACACACACACACACTCATACATGCACACACATACTATATTGACAGTGTTTGTTGATATAGTTGATTCCCTGGCTGTATCCCTGGCTCGTACGTACATCACCATACAGCCAGCATTTGACGTATGGCTGGTACAGAAAAGGTATCAGTAATTGTCCTCACAACACAAGCCATCACAAATAGTGTCTCACTTTAACCTTATCACCTGCTTAAAAGGACAATGATGACTCTTTCCAATTAATAGTCAAGGCAATGGAGACTGAGAAGGCAAAGAAGGTGCTGAATACCTATTTAGGAATACACAGAGAGAGGGCGTAGGGGAAAGAAAGAAAGTTTTTCTTCCAACTTGGCAAGTCAGCTCAGCTCAGCACCCCAGTTTCTAGGTCCACAAGCTCCAATTCCTGAGTTAGGAATTAGATGGCTATAGTTGGAGATGGCCTGGGCTCCCCCATCCTGTGGCTTCTCCCTAACATTGGGCAACACACACACACACACACACACACACACACACACACACACACCCTGGGACAGCCCAATAACTTCTTTCTTAGGGAGCTAATAGCTCTCCTTGGCTTTGACTGTTTGCCTGAAGACCTTCACTGGAAACCCAGGGCCTTTTAGATGCCTGCTATCCAAAGTTGGATCCACTCATCAGAACTGAGATGGTGCTGACTTTGCCAATGGAAAGAAAGGGAAAGGAATGTCACTGCAGGGTTGAGCAGGCCTTAAATCTACTTTCCTATGCACAGGCACAGGCAGAGCTCAGAATCAACCAACTTGGGGTCATAGTTCACACCCTCTAGGGAGTAGTGGTAGCCTGCAAAGGACTCTGGGAAGAGAAAGAAAATCTCAAGTTGGCTGAGATCAGTTATTGCTCTTGCAAAGATGGGTGTTCTGGTAGTTTCTATTGCTGTCTTTCTGATAGGGAAGGGGCTGTAGTGAAGAACAGGCAATAGAGTGTAGGAAGTGTTAATGTTCCCTTAGGCAGGGCTAAGGGTATGGTTTGAAAAGGAAGGCAGGAAGACATGATCAGTCAGGTTGAGTAGTGTGAGCAGGTCTTATATCCTACTGTGTGAGCAGAGGTGTCCTTCAGGTACTGTTAATAAAGGAATCCTCATTGCGGTTCTCTGTGGGAGGTGCTAGCCTAATGAATGAATCATTCACTCTTGGTTCTTTTTGGTTGTGCTACCAAGGCTCACTCCTGTTTGGATGCTGAAGCCTTCTGCTCCCTTCTTCTTTCCTGTTAGTGTCTGAAAGCTTTCTGGCCCAGGTCTAGAGTCCATGACTTGTTACCTGGATCTTTCTTTACCTCAAAGCTGGAGTTGGGGTGCTCATAAGTCTTGTACCAGCTTTTGGGAGATGTGCTTTGCCAGTATCCTAAGCCCAGACCCCAGAAAAGGGGACATTTGCCTCAAGGACAAAGACATCTTTTCTGCTTGGGCCATTCTTTTTTTCTTTTTTTTGGGGGGGGGCATGATCACAGCCACCATTTCATTGTAGCTATTTCCCCAACTCTTTCAGGTAGAAGTAGACTGTTGGTCTGTTTAATTCCCATGTAGTCGACATATTTGTCCTCATCACAAAACCAACTGCTAGAATAGGATGAGAGCCCTACATGGACTCCTGAGCAAGTATCTCTCTGTCTCAGGAGACCTGGATCCCTAGTGGCCCCAGTTAGGGTCATCCAAAGGTCAGAATCTCAGGGTTGTCTTTCAGGGCTGGGAAAAGAGTTCTTCAACAATATACCTCTTCTATTTGGTTAAGAAAAGTAAGTATTCTGCAGGGGAAGAGGGCACTATAAACCATGCTGTGCTCTGGATTCAAGGAGCAGAGTCATTGATAAAAATAGCGACTTTATTCTTCAGAGAAAGATACACTGGTGGGGGCGAAGAGCCACTAATAGCTACAGTGGAAGGAAACACTGATCCAGTGGGCAAGAGCATCTTTAAGAAACCGGGTAGAAGGAAAAAAGATGGATAACAACAGGGCAGAGGGTAGAACAGAGGAGTTGGGGTGAGGGTGGTCTCTGTAAGCCAGGCTGGAACCCAGCACAATAAATAGTATTATTTACATAACCAAAGTCGTGGCTTTGTATCCACATTTCAGTGCAAATTATTTACACACTGATGAGGGGGCAGGACAGGAAGGGGTGGGAAGTGGCTGAGGGAGGCATGGTTCACAGCTGTTCAGTGGGTCCATATCAGGGACTAGGAGAGTGGAGGTTTTTCTGCGGGTGTTTCCTAACCTCAGTTCCCACATCATCACAGCCGCCCTTTCACCGTGGAACCTCTTACTTCAGCTAAGGGTGGGAGGGGAAAGGCTTTGATGCCCAGATGTGTTGATGAGAATGGAAGGGGCCTTTAGGGACACGGACAGAATGGAAGGAAAGGAGGAATGAGATAGAGAAGTCACTGGCACAATACGACAGTGACTACAACACCTCATAGCTGACCCCCTCCTCCCCCAGGAGAAGAGGAACCCTCCTCTCATCCCCTGGCCAAGTAGGGGGCGGTGCAACAAGAGGTCTCCCACTAAGAGGGAGGGAGGTAGGTTGGAGCAGGCCCCTCAGGATGTCAAAAGGGTTCGTGCTGTCTCCAGCAAGTGGTTTAAGGAGCACCCAGGTAGGAGGTGGGAAGAGAGGGGTCGCTATGAGCCTCAGGAATGTGCCTGGAGGTGCTAGGGTGGGCGAATGGGGTGGGTCTTGAGTGTCAGCGAGTTTTTCAGGGGAGAGCTGGAAATGAGGGAGTTCGGGGACAGGTGCAGAGCCTCACAGACACTCGTGCAGTACGCGTGTGTGCGTGCAGTTGCGGCAGCTGACGTGGCAGCACCAGTGAAAGGTGCAATTGCAACGCTCCGTGACGCGCTGCGTGCGCGTGCGGTGGCCCCGGCCACAGCACAGCAGCTCGCAGCCGTCCAACGCAGGAGAAGAGCTGTTGCAAGCACGCCCCGCTGTGCCGGCTGTGCCCAGGCGTCCGCTGTATGTGCAGAAGTTGGGTGATTTCTCGAAGTAGACAAGGTCGTGAGGGGAGGGCGGCTTGTGTGCGGGGTCTTCTGGCTCTAGGCGCAGCAGCTCTGCCCGCGAGGCGCGGTTGTTGCCCCGGTTGCCGTAAAGGACGCGGGAGGCGCCATCGAAGCGGTCGCGCAGCACGTCGCCCACAGCGCGTAGCGTGGGCAGCCGCATCCAACACGTGCGCACCGTGCAGGAGCCGGACATCCCGTGGCATTTGCACTCCTGGCGCATCTCAGAGAACACGGTCTGGGGTGGGGGGAGGAAGGGCGTTTGCAGGGTCAAAGCCAACATCCCACATAGCATCACCCACTCCACTCCCACCCCACCCCCATCATGTAGAAACCTCAGCCAGGGTCCAGGTGTAACCAAGCCCAGGTGAGGGGAAGAACGAAGTGCCTGCTGAGATATGGCCACTACCCGACTCTGTTCAACACCAGAGTCAGTTTTACTTTTCAAAAGTGTGCCCTGCAACCATAGCAATACAGTCTATGTTGCATAGCCTATTAACCTAATCTAGTCTGGCATCAGATCAGGGATCCCTTTGCCCTCTCCTGTCTTTCCTCCTAGACTCCCACTCCCTCAGGAAGCCCTCTCCCTGTGCCTCTGGCCTTATCCTGGACCGTTACCCCACCTCATCCCCGCCCCTGCCATTGGCTCCAGCACACAGCCGGACATACCGACATACCGTGCGCCCTGCTTCGTTGTTGTGAAGGTTCATGAGGAAGCGCAGGTCCCGCCCCTTCTCCCCAGAATCTACGAATTCTCTGCCGAAGAGGCGGCCAAAGTCGATGTTGTCGCTACAGCCTCCCCAGTGCCAATCGGGCCCCCCGGGGCCGCGCCGCCGGTAATCACAGGTGCAGGACTCAATGGAACCTTCGGAGCAGGAGCGTGCCACCGAATGTGTGACCCCAGCAGAGGTGATTGCGAAGATAAATGCTGTTTCCCGGCAGCCTGTGAGTGAAGCGACCCCGCACCAGTTGAGAGAACACGCAGCACCCTCTTTAGAAGGCTTGGTAGCTTACAGTTCAACACCCGGACTCGACCCTTGGAGTCCTGACAACCCGACAAGCTGAAGTGCTAAAAAACTGGTCTTCAGGTGCGCGTGAGTGAATCCATGAATGCATTCCTCACCGTGCTTTTCTGAGACTCCAGTCTAGAACGTGAGTGGGACAGCCCCAAAGAGGGTATCCCAAGTAGATCCACTCTGAATAGCTGAGATCTCCACCAGACCAAACTCATGGTCGGTGGGTGTTGGCAGTGCAAACTTTGCAGGGTGAGGATCACAACCCCGGCCCTCTGAAAGCAGGTTCCCAAAGCACCTTTGAGGGAGGCTGGAGAAGGGCAACTGTTTTCCAGCGCCCAAGATCCAGAATTCCCTTACTGTGGGTCAGTGGCTCAGAAAAGTTAAAGATCACATTCAAAATACATGGCTGGAAAGAACCTGGAGCCAAAGTCTGACCTGTGTTAGCGTTAAAGCAGGGAGGGCATCAGGCCATCCGCTGGGTTGATCGCGGAACCCTGTGACGTGTGAGACATCTTCCCTGCATTTGCCCGCCCATGCCCTGGAGCTGACCCTGCTTTTCCCCTAATCCCGGAAGCGTCGCTTTCCTGGGCACCCACCTCGGTTGACGATCTTGCCGAAGAGGTGGGGCCCGGGAGCGGTAGGGCAGTTCCAGCGGCGGTTTCGGAATTGCCACTTGCACTCTCGCACTGCGCTCTGCAGCCCTCCACTCACGCTGTGCAAGATCCCCGGGTTCTGTCGGATCAGTCGCCGCTGCTTGCGGCTCAGTAGCTGCAGACTGGGCTCGAGCACCAGCTGTAGACTCTTGGAATCCGTTAGCAGGTTTGTGGAGGAGGCTATGTTCACGATGCCCCTGGTGGGACGAATAAGGACTCAGTCTGGGGAAGAGGGCCTGCACATTAACTATGCAGGCTGTACCAACCCCATCCTATGTGCCTATAGAGATCAGCAGAGGGTCAATAATAGCTCCCCAGCTCTTGAGTTTGGTAGACCTGAGCCCCAGGAGCACTAGGTTTAGTGGTTGGGTAGAGAAGACACTATGAGTCCATGCATGGCTTTCTTAGTTCTTCATCTTCCTTAAAGACAGCCCCGGAGAGGGATCCCAGCCTGCAGCCTTGCCTACCTTGAAAAGTTAGGAATTCTGTCTTTTTCTCACCTCTTTTCCAAGCTAATAACTGATTATTTGGCTCAAGACCCTAGGGACCCCTGAGTACCCACCACAGTGAGGCTCAGTGGGGAAGGGTTCTATTAGATGGGAGTGGGCTCTGAGCCTGGTATACCTGGGCTTCTGTCTGCAAATGATTCGCCCCACTTCAGCTGAGCTGGTCTTTGGGTTAGTTTTAGGTAAGAGCACCCTGGATGTGGTGAAGTCATAGTGCGGGAAGGGGTCTGTGGGTTGGCGATGCCCACAGCGTAGGCGCTGGGTAGGGCCGGTTCCTGGCTCTGTGCCCCAAGACAAGAGGCGACCCCATACTAGCTCACTTACCACCATCGGCCACTGCTGTTGGCGGCCAGGGCTGAGGGCAGGGAGGTCAGTGCCAGTAGCAAAGTAGCAGAAACCCAGCTGGGCAGCAGCACCCAGAGCCCCATGGCCTGCCTGGCCTTGTTGGTTCTGTGCTGCAGTTCTTTCTGGTGGCTTTGGTTGCTGCCCGCGACGGTGGGACTGGACGCAGCGGTGAGGGCAGTGGTGAGAGTTCGCAGGCTGGCTCTAGTAACTCAGGAGGCGGGCCCCAGGCAGCATGGTTTGCTGCCCTGGCTGTTGGGCTGAAGCAGCCACTGGGAGAGGCACCGCCTCTTATAGTAGCGGCTCTGACTGCAAGGACGAGAAGAGACTGCCCCTCTGGGCCGCACTATGGCACCAGGACGCACCGCACCGGTCAGGGCCACAGACAATGAGTAGCTAGTGAGCAGGGCTGTGGCTCTAGCCGGTCTGAGCAAAGAGCTGACAGGCTAGCCATCGGGGCTCACCCCCGCCCCCTGCCTGGTGGCCCCCGCCTCCAGGTCTGCACTGGCCGCCGACCCCTCCCCTTGGGATGGCCTCCCACGCGCGCCGGGCCGGCCTCACTCTTCGCGTCCCTAGCCCGTCCGGGACCAGCATCCGCCAGGGGGCGCGGAAACAAAGTGCTTAGGAACAACCTGTCTGTGGCCTGGATTGCCTCCCCACGCGCGGTGGGGCTGTCCCCTCGATGTCACCCTGTCCTCCCCCGCCCCCTCCCACCCTTCTCTTCCTTGTTCTGAATGGCGGATGGAATCTGTGGTTCTGGGCAGCGACTCTGCGGAGATGCTTCCTCGCCCAGGAACCCCCGACGGGCGGGTGGCAGGACAGAGAAGGAAAGGAGAGAGACAGAGCAGGGGTGGAGCTGTGGTCAGGGATTCCCGGGCGTGGGGTGTAGGGGTAGGATGACCAACTGAGCTGATGGTAGAGAGAAACTCGTAACTATGCAGCAATTTGCATTACGTGGGCTAGGAGCGTGCCCATCTGTGTGTCACAACGTCAGGTCAAGTGGATATATACACCTGTTCTGAAGGTGCACACTCCTGTGTATTGGTGTAGCCAGAAATTTCTAAAGAAGGACCTTTCGAGCCCTTTCCAAATGACTTTGTAATTTGGCTCAGGACAGGAAGATCATGAAGTTACTTTCTACAGTCACCATTTGAAGCAGCTATCAAGAAGGAGGTGGGAGCTGTAACAAAAGAGGTCCAGAAGCCTGACTCAAGAATGGAGTGTCTGGGATTGTGTTTGCAGGTGGGTGGGTGAGTGTGTGTGGGAGATTAACTACGTGCATGCATGTGTCATTCTGTCCATCTGGGTACCTTGTGTCATACTATGGTGTGTCACTCTATGCATGTGTCAACCTGTGCATGTCATTAGCGGAGGGAGTCATGAAGATGAGCCAGGCCCGTTTCTCTGGCAACTAGGCTCAGAAAGGATGGAACAGAGGCACAATTGTCAGGTAATGATGAGCACTGGGAAGAAAGAATGCTCCCTGAAAGGAACCTGCAACTGCACATTTGATTTGTTTTTGTTGTTGCTGCTGGTCTTGTGACTCTACCTGACATAGAATTTTAATATGTAGAACCCACGATAGTCACCTGACTGCTGGGATTACAGGCCTGTGCCACCATACCTGCCCACGTGGTGGCTTACAGCTACATGTAACTCCAGTTCCAGAGTCAAGTGCTGCCTGAACCCCACTGGCACCAACCATACACAGGGGTACATACATACACACAGGCAAAACACCCACACATACATAAAACAAATCCTTTTTTTTTTTTTTTTTTTGCTTAATAATAGCCAGGTGGTGGTAGCACAGGCACTCCTTTGATCCCAGCACTTGGGAGGAGGATGGATCTCTGTGATCCAGCTTGAGTCTGCAGAGCAAGTTCCAGGACAGCCAGAACTACACAGAGAAACCCTGTCTCAAAAAACAAAACAAAAAAGGGGGGTAACAAGTTTATGCTTCCCATGTGTTTTCATTGGATTTTTCTTCCAAATCTCTGCAGTCTCGCCAAACCCCAGTGTTCCCCACTCTCACCCCAGTGCCTGTAACTCTTCCATGGCATATTTTTTCTTTTCCAGAAATTCTCCCAAAATTATCTTCAGGGACACAGTAGCCTAGGATTTCCAGGCTGCTGTTCCCTACATGGGACACAGAGGGCGCTGCCAGCTTGATTACCATGCCCCCCCCCCCCCCCCCGTTACCACACAGAGAAGCCCCCACTCCACCCCCGAGGTCCTAATAGTCTTCCTGTCTTCCACTTTACAGAGAAAACAATTGATGAGGCAGTGGTCCCACCTAATAAATGGATTAATGTTAAAGCTATATCCTCCGGGATTGGAATAGAGTATTTGCCTAGCATGAACAAACCCCTGGGTTAGATCCCCAGGACTATAAAAACCAGGAATGGTGGCATGTGGCTGCAACCTCAGCAATCAGGAGACAGGAGGATCAGAAGTTCAAGGTTATCCTTCTCCACCTGGCATACAGGAAACATTCTTAAAACACAAAAACATTCACAAAACAACCCAGCAGTTGAGTGAGAGAGAGAGAGAGAGAGAGAGAGAGACAGAGACAGAGACAGAGACAGAGACAGAGAGAGAAGCAAGCTGAGCTGTGAGTTCAAGGCCAGCCTGGTCTATATAGCAGGTTCTAGGATAGCTGGGTCTTCACAAAGAAGCCCTGTCTCGGAGAGAGAGAATTTGCTGCTCCTCCAGAGACCTCAGTTTGTTTCCTAGCACCCAGGTCAGGCAGTTTATAACTGCCTATTACTCCAGCTCCAACCTCCTCTTCTCCCGACTTCAAGGACATTCATATATGAATGTGCATACATGTACAAGCACATACACATTATATACATAAGTAAAAAGCAGGTGAAAGTGCTTGCTGTCAGACAACTCGAGTTCAATACCTGGGACCCACATGATGAAAGGAGAGCTGACTTTAAGAACTTTTCATCTCTACATGTGTACACACACACACACTCTAAATGAATAAATGTAAACAATTCAATGAACAAACTAACAAAATCAGACTCTCCAGACATGGTGGAGTGTGCCTATGATCCCAGCACTTGGAAGTCTGATATAAGAAGATGGTTCCAAATTTGAGACAACCCTGAGATAGATAGCAAGATCCCACTTAAGACAACAAATTAATAATTAATGAAAAATATAGTAAATAAACCTCAGACCAACTTTGCATGGTGGTACATGTCTACCAATTCCAGAACTTGGAAGGCTGAGGTAGGAGGATTAAAAAGCCTTGGAGAGGCTAGGAATGGTTGTGCATGCCTTCAATCCTGCACTTGGGAGTTAGAGGCAAGTGGGTCATCTCTGTGAGTCTGAGGCCAGCCTGGTCTACAAAGTGAGTTCCTGCACAGCCAGCCTGGGGCATATAGTAAAATCCTATCTTAAAATCAGAGCAAACCCAGTGGTTGTTGTTGGTTTTTTTTTTTTCCTCTCTTTTGGTTTTCTGGGGGAAGGGGAGGGTCTTTTTTGGTTATATTTTTGAGAATGTGTGTGAATATTTTGCCTACATGTTGTATATGTACCATCTGTGTGCAGTACCCTCAGTGGCCAGAAAAGGGCTTCAGATTCCCTGGAACTGGAATTACAAATGGTTGTGAGCCACTATGTGGGTGCTGGGAATCAAACCCCTATCCTCTGCAAGTGCTCTTAAATGCTGAGCCATCTTTTGTTTTATTGTTTATTTGTAGAGATAAGGTCTTCGTGTAGCCTAGGCTGGCCTCAAATTCAAAAAATAGTCTATGCTGTCCAGAACTTCTGATCTCCATGCCTCCACCTCTGGAGTGGAGATTAGAGGCTGCACCAAGCCTGAGAGCCCAGAATATTTGAACTCAAAGACCACGTAGGCTGTTCCTACCTATCAGTGGCTCAGTGGTTTGCCACTTTGCAGCAGAGCAGGCTGGGGTTTCTTCTCAGAATTGACACAGAAAGAAAATAATTTTTAGATCTTGTCTGCTACCCTTTTGGGGCCTTTTGTTTCCATCTCTTCTGGTTTTTGGTATGCTGTCTGTCTAGATCACCCAGGTCTGATCCCAAAGAGCTTGACTCCCAGAATTGATCAGGCTTTCCCACTGATCACTCTAAGGAAGAAATGACTGATACATTTAGTTACTGTTTAAATTTTTAAAATCACATTTAGTGTGTGTGTGTGTGTGTGTGTGTGTGAGAGAGAGAGAGAGAGAGAGAATGCCATAGCATGCATAATCAGAGAACAACTTGTAAGAGTTGCTTCTCTCCTTCCATTATATAGGTCCCAGGGATGTTATTTAGGTCATTAAACTTGATGGCAAGTTTCTTTACTTACTCAGTTATCTCATTGGGTGTGAATGTTTTAAAATGAGATCTATATTAACCCAAATGAAGCTTGATGGAGTGTTTGTTTTATATCCTTCCCAGGCCCCACCTTAGCCTAGTATACTTGCTTCCTCCAAAGATTCATTCCTGAGGGATAATTTGGAATGGTCCAGCATTCTATGAAATTGCAGGAGCTTCTGCAAATAGTGCCCCACAAAAATGGCTCAAGGGAATGAACAATGTACATGGACAACCTGACTTTGTCCCCAAGAAATTTCTCACCACTGGGGCCTGGATCACATACATCCTTTTTTTCTTCTTTTGGTTTTTCAAGACAGGGAAGAAAGGGTTTCACTCTGTAGCCCTGGCAGTTATGGAACTCACTCTGTAGACCAGGCTGGCCTTGAACTCAGAGATCTGCCTGCCTTTCTTTGCCTCCAGAGTGCTGGGATTAAAGGGGTGTGGCACACACATGAATTACCTAGCCTATTTGAAGTCCAAAGGTGGACCACAGGCATGGTAAAAATAAAGAAAAGATAAAGCCAAGTATGCTGCCACACACCTGTAATCCTACCACTTGAGAAGTAGAGGTAGGAATTCAAAGTCATATAACTACATAAAGAGTTTGAAGCTAGCCTGGGCTACATGTATCTTAACCAAAAAAGAAAAAAAAAAAAAAAAAAAAAAAAAAAAAAAAAAAGGAAGGAAGGAAGAAGGATGCTAACAGAAGTACTCCCATTTTGAGCTGGTCTTCCTGGTCTCTTCACTCATATGAGTGGCAAACTATATGGCTCCAAGCT